CTCTGCAAACTCATGCTTACAAAGAGAACAGAAACATCATACAAGCAAATCATAATGTATGCTTCAGGAATTAAAATGCATCCAACCAGTCAAGATGTCAGCGTCTGCCTATTCCAGTTACTAGTCAAGAAGGTGTAATTAGGAAATCCAAAAAACCCTGTTTGAAAAGCTAGGTATTCCAAGACAACATCAGAAAAACATCTTCCACAAAGACTTTCATGTTTCAAACATAAGACACCACAAAATTACTTTTTAAATTCCATATTAACACGTATCAAAATACAAAGACCCAAGCTATAAAAATAGAATTTCCAAGAAAGCTTTAAATTAAAAACCAGGTTTTGCCACGAGGTGCTCTTACATTATGTCACTGAAATACTGCAGACCATGCTGCCCTCTTGTGCTGGATATCAAAAGCAAAATTAATTCTGCCCACGCCAGGAAAACAGGATTTACATTTCAAATAAAAATCATCTCTTAGTTTCTGAAGACTTACTCTTGACTTAGGATTTGCGTTACCCATTTATTATGATTGGAACAGAACGGAAACAGGGCTAAGACACACAAAAAAACTGACTAGGAAGAGGTAGACGCAGCGAACAGCATCAGAAAATGTCTGCAAATGCTCTGTTCAACTCAGGTCATAATCAAAATATGCAGGAGGTGTCCAGGGGCAGCTGAAAATGTGAGGTTTCTTAACAGACACATGCGATCCCATTACCAACCTACCTCAAAGGAGGAAATAAAAACTAACAATGGGTGAGAGAAGGATAAAAAGACGAGAAAGGAAAACTGGCTCTTGGCCGGGCGCAGTGGCTCACGCCTGTAATCCCAGTACTTTAGGAGGAGGCCAAGATGGGTGGATCACCTGAGGTCAGGAGTTCGAGATCAGCTTGGTCAACATGGTGAAACCCCATCTCTACAAAAAATACAAAAATTAGCCAGGTGTGATGGTGGATAATGTAATCCCAGCTACTCGGGAGGCTGAGGCAGGAGAATCACTTGAAACTGGGAGCCACAGTTTGCTGTGAGCTGAGATCATGCCACTGCACTCCAGCCTGGGCAACAGAGTGAGACTCTACCACACACACACACACACACACACACACACACACACACAACCACCATTTGTCCACTGGTGGGCACCCTGGATGAATGTGTGTCTGTTCTTGCTGTGGGTCTAGCCCCCTCCCAACAGCAGACAGAGCACGTTTGCCCCTCAGATCCAGCTCTGCATTGCTAGTCAGTACTTGGCTTCTGGGGAAAATTGCTATCTCGGTACCAGTAGGAGGTAAAACCCTGTCTCTACTAAAAATACCAAAAAAAAAAAAAAAAAAAAAATTTAG